TCTTTGACCTTATAGGTTTAAAACTCATAATAATATATGGAAATTCCCCCCAGCGAATTAACTTTCAAAAGGACTTAAGAACCTAGAGTGAAGGGAGTGAAGAAAGATAGCAAAATAGAAAAATTTTCTATCTTTGGATTAGTAGAAATTTCAGGTTGAATATTTCATGTTTCAGAGCCCGATGCAGAGTATCCCCAGTCCACTCTTTTCTAATAACCATTTCTTTCTTGAGCTAATTGAGTTTGCTGAGACCCACCAATTTCTTCCTCCTACTATGCTAATTGAGAGTTCAGAAGACTTGAATGCTGACAACAACTGTGCCACTGATTCACTGTGGTTTAGGGAAGACATGCTACTTTTTGGGGTCTCAGTGTTGTCGTTATTTCCAAACTGGGCAGTTCTTGTCATCTCAATGGCCCTTTTCAATTCTGATGTTCAGTGATTTATAATCCCTCTTGCCTTTGATTACTTGCACTTTTCTAAGCTGAAACCACACCAGCATTTCTCCACTTAAATTCATAATCTTAACATTTTGGAGAGGCAGCGTAGTGTGGTAGTGAAGAGTATGGATTCTGCATTGGTCACCTCTTAGCTGTGTGGCTTTAAGCAAATTTTTCAAACTCTCATTGTGCTTCAGATTACTGTAAAATGCTGATAATAATATCACATATCTCAGAAGATTAAATGAGAATGTTAGCACATAAAGAGTATACAAATTGAGCATATTAATATAAAAAGCATTAAGACCAGTACCTGGAAAATAGTAAGTATATGTATGTTAATTATCATATTACCCGTGGGAACATAAGCTCAAAAAGAATCTCATTATTTCTTTTCTCATCAATGAAATGCAGATGAAATAAGAATTGGCAGAGAAGTCCTAGTGAATTATCCTTATTTTAACCCATTCCCTGATGTTTTGGGGTTCAGAGCAGGAAGACTAGCAGGACTAGCCTTCAGATCAGGAGGAGTAGTTATCTTTCTGTTTTTCTGCTTACTATAGCTGGATAAATTATTGGGCAGGAACTTCTCCAGCCCTAACTATACAGTTCACTGCCTGCTATTTCACCACTGAAACTCTGATGCCTCAGGTTGTAGAGCTGTGGTCCTCAACCAGGACAAGGTGGAGCTTACAGGAAATTCTGTATGCACTGGGGTGGCATACAGATGGGCAATAGGAAAATGGTCCTGGGGAAAGTTGTGTCCAGATTTCCCTAATCTCCACCCCCTGAGCACTGGTTTTAGAGTCCTCATTAAAGTGTTAATTTTTGCCCTGGAGTCACACCTAAAGGAGAGAAGAATTTTGAAAAGGAAATTGGAAAGAGGATGTGAAAGGAGTCAAGGACAGGAGGCAATGATACGAATGGTTTGGATCCATGGTCCAAATTTAAATTTACCCCATTTCACAGTTCTCTTTAGGTTTGTCCCTGAGTCACCTTTTTCATTAATATCCAAGACAAATCGATCCCTTTAAGACAGGAGTCACCCCAGCCACTGTTTCCCAGGGAGGAGAACTCCAAACCCAGAAAGTTGAGATAGAAATTCCTTAATGAATCTACCAGCTGGTCTCCCTGGCTTGGCTTACCTGAGCAGCTCTGAAGTCTAGTCAGAGCTCTCTTCCTGTACCAGTGGCCTTAGGAGAGAGAATAGAAGGGGTTCTTAGATGACTCTTCTTTCTCTAAAGCAGGGTCAGGGACCACATGTCCACTGAATTTCAATAAAAAGGAAAGCAACTTGATAACTACAAATACCTTGTATTCCTATATTAATGACAGTTGTTATTCTAATCCTATAATTGATGGCAGGGCTCCATTTTCTCCAGTCCTTGGTGTCCATCTCCACCTCAGCTGTGGCCCTCTGTATGTCTCATCCCAGTGATTATAATAGCTTCTGAGCTAGTTTCCTTTGATCTAGCCTCTTTTTATGCCAATCCGTGCCATCCTTCATGGCTATAATAATTTTCTTGGAAAAAAACTTCTGATTATGAATGGATGTATAAATAAAAAAATAAGCAGATGGTTGAATGCTATCCTTCCTTTTGCAAGACTAAGGCACTGGCTTGATATGTTGTCCTGCTTCTTCTTCATCTCCTAGAGTAGTGGTTCTTATCCAGAATATATGATATCACTTTTTAGGGGTGTCACAAGATTTCTTGAAGAAGATAGAGTTAGAATTACTACTATCCATATGGAAATCATATATATGAGGCATGTCTTCATATGTAGTCCTATCACATATGCCAAAGAGGAAAATGCTTGCCTGTAGCTTCCAAGGGTACCACTTCTTGAAGAAGAGAGAAACGTAATCAAAATATTGGCCTTTTTATAGGGACCTTTTTCTTTCAGTCATCCACAGATGTTAGATGCCATGTCCTTTTTGAAGTCTAATGTTTTATCTAGAAACCTTTGAAATATCTGTAGGGAGGTCATAGGAAGCCATGACAAGACATTAACAGTGTAGCTAGAGCATAAGGCAAAAATCCATTCTGTTCTTTTCCTGCCTAAAAATGAAAAAATACTTGCACACTGTCAGCTGTACATAGATAAAAATATAACTAAATAAAATGATCAAACCACCTTAGAATGTAATCAGAGAAACTTCAGTTGCTTGTTAACTGCCTTGAGAGAGAGAACTTTGGCTTCTGATTTTGATGGTATTCTTTGCTTTTTCCTCAATTGTTTGAAGCAGCATAGAAACTGGGGGCAAGGGCAACAAAAGATGTTTCACGTTCTTTTTTTTTAAGATTTTATTTATTTATTTGAGAGAGAGAGAATGAGAGAGAGCACGAGAGGGAAGAGGGTCAGAGGGAGAAGCAGACTCCCCGCTGAGCAGGGAGCCCGATGTGGGACTCGATCCCGGGACTCCAGGATCATGACCTGAGCCGAAGGCAGTCGCTTAAACAACTGAGCCACCCAGGCGCCCCGATGTTGCACGTTCTTAACTGCCCTGTCTGCAACCTGCTGAAGAGAACACTTTGCAAAGGTCCTTAGGATTATAGAATTAGAGTTGGAAGGGACCAGAAGAGGTCACGGAGCCAGTTCACCTTTTGCCTTCAGGCAGTCCGCCCATGCCAGAGGTGCTGTCGGCCCTCATACAGGCTGCTCTTTCTGACCCCCACAAGCACATACTTCCATAACTATGAAAGCTTCCAAGATCATACAGATCTTTAATGTGTTTTTAGAAGAGATTTTCTTAAGAATGACACAAGGGAAGATTCAAAGCTTTAGCAAAAATGTTGAGTAGTTCACACCTAGCAATCGCCTCACCCACTTATCCCCTCCCACCTGTTTTTTAATACCTGGCAAATGTTGGCTGCCTAGTTAGGCTTTGAGAAAACAGAGACTTCCCGAAAGTTCCATTGTTCCTAAGCCAGTTTGGGCATGTTGCCTTTTGCATTCCATAGCTCAGCTTCTATCACATGTACTCAGCGGCTAGCTTTTAAAGACTGACAGTGGACACATCAGTCCTCACTCAGAATTTTCTTCAGATATTCTGTCCCTGAGCCATTTCCCCCAGGGCAAAAGATAACCAGGAAATAAGGAAATGCCAGTCAACCTGAAAAACCCCATCAAGCCTCCATATATAAGTGAAGGCATCTGAGGGTTACAGGTAGGGAACAATCTTATTCCAAACCTGGCTCTTAGAACACCCATGCGATGCAGTTACTGCTGATGTACATTGACAAATCACACATCCAAAGGAGGTCTCTCTTCTTCCAGAAGTGTGTTTTCACTCAGTTGATATTTTCCATGGATTAGAATGGGTCAGAAAGCATTACATCAAAAGAAGAGGGAAACCAAGATGTTTGTGTGGCTCTTTCTGCTGGCCATTGTCTAAAACCTGGTGATGTGTGGGTTTAAAGGTTTGTTCCACATGAACAAAAAGTAGTCTTAGTCTTAGTACACAGATGATTCTTAAATTGACACAGGAAGAAAAGGCCATGTTTCTTTTCTCCACTTGGGTGGGCAAGGAAGAAGAATAACAGTGATGGCTATTCTTTGACTTTGTCCATCTCCTTGATAACTTCTTCTCAGACAGTTCTGCATCTCTGAACACCCAGGAATCTGGTTCAGACAGGCCAATGATTCAGGGTCCTTGAAGAGTGAAAGAGAAGCATTTAACTTCCAAGCATCCTTCAGAATGATAACTTCTTATCACAATACTAAGTGCCAGTTCTTATCGACCAATAATGACACCCTAGCCCAGTGTGTTGAAAGGATTCCTAGGTTGAATCTGGGTTCTGGAATAAGAATGGCATGATGGAATACCAACATATGAGTGCAGGAAGAAGTAACAGCTCATGTGTCAGTTTTTTTCCATCTCAGAGCAGCTTCATATTGCTCATTTAGTTATTAAATTTCAAACATTCTTGCATTTATCCTTATAGTCATCCTTTGAAGTCCCAGTATTATCCCCATTTTGCAGATGAGAAAATTATTTCCCTTTGTGTTATTTCCAGGTTTGGAAATTCACAAATGTTTTGAGACCTAGCCCATGTAAGGTCAAGAGTCTTCAAAAGTTAAAATTAATAATAAAGGAATCCTTTGAAGGAAAAAATAAAGTAAAAGGCAGTATCCATTGAGACTAAGTTGCAGCCTGAGTAGTATCTGCAGAAGGGGAGAAGGGGACTTGTATAGTGATCTCTTCTTGGAATCCAAACATGGCTGCAGACCCTGCCTATGGCAGGAAGGCTCCCTGGATGCTACACCTGCGTGAGACAGAGGGCTGATGTCTTAGGAAGGTACAGCAGCAACTCAGTAGGTGCTTATTTAAGCATCCATATGGTACTGAAATTCTCACAATGATTTTCCACCCACTAAGTCTGCAGAAGGAAATGAAAGAGATTTCTATAATCCATCCTCTTAGAATTAGTCTGTGGCTAAGGATCTCTATCCTCTCCCTAGCCAGGGTCCTAGAAATGTCTCAGTCAGTAGGGAGGGTTCAAAAATACCTTCCAGAAAGATATGCTGACTCATTTTAAGATTGCTGTGTTCTTGCAGGGACAACAGGGATGGTAAAGAAAAACAGCATGAAGGAATTCTCTGATTCTACGGTACATGACTGTATGATGTGGGGACAGCCAAGACTGATGAGCAATGTCAGCTTCACCACCAGGTAAGAGCCTCAGAGAACCCTGGTTCCCCGTGGGTTTCTGAGGATCAGTGGGCAAAAAAAAATGTGACGTAAATGAGAATGTTGGCTTTATCAGCCCTTATAGTGACCAGTGGAATTGTTCTTCACCAACATGAATTCATCTCTGCTTCTCCCAATGTCAGTAAGCTAAACAAACAGACCTCCTTGCAACATGGCTCAAAATACTTTATACCTGTGATAACCAAAGGTCATGTACCCAGTTTTCTCTCAGATCACCTTTCAGGCGCTCTACACATGTAGGTTGGGATGACATTTCAGTTATTCCCAATTTCTATTATTAATCCATCTCCTATTTCCAACAAACTGATGAGATTGCTTTTGTTTTTCAATCTGCAAAACGGGATCAACAAATGCCTCCTCCCTCACTCTCTTTTTCCTGCAGTACATTAAAATCTTGATTAACCAGAATGCAAAGTTGGAGGTGGAGGGTGATCTGTTCAGTTGATTTTAAATGGAGGGTCAATCTAAAAGTTCTATCACTTCAGAGTTTATTGTGCATAGCTTTGTAATATGTTGCCAGCATTTCAGTTTAGTGCCTATACTGTACCAGGAAAATTTTTAATGATTGTGATTATCTACAGGTAAATACTGTATTACCAGCAGAGAATAGACATTGTGCACTGACACTGTATAATGTGGGTGTGGGCTAGGGTTAGGGTTAAGTTCAAATGCTGACTCTAAACTGTGTGATCTTGGGCAAGTTGCTTTACTTCTAGGTGTCTCAGTTTTGCTACATTAAATGAGTATAATAGTCATGAATACTTTGTAGGTTTTTTGTAATGATTGAATTAGATTCGGTATTTAAAGTACTTTGTTTGATTCTTGGTCAATAGTAAGTCCTCATTAGATGTTCCTTATTATAATTAGTAGTAAGTGCAGAGCCTTCAAGGAGGTAGATTTTGAAATAAATCCTTGATCTTTTTTTTAATAACTCATCTCTTTCTTTTAATATATGAAGAATCATGCTTCTGTGTAATTGGGGGTTCTATATAGATGGGCCTGGGTAACAGGCTCTATTGTACCACTCCTACAGGTGAGGCTGGCATCAGTGTCTGAGCCACCAAGGGTGCTACCTCTGTGTGTGTGCACTTTCCAGGAGGAATATAAAAGTCCTAGGAATTATAGCTTCTGCCCTTCCTTGCCTTCTATTCCAACATTTTATCAAACCGAGATAATCTGTGGAAAAGGATTAAGAACTGTGTGGAGGAAAGTGCTATGGTATTGCAGGAATTCACATTTTGTCTTACTCTTAATGAAAATAACTACTCACTATAATTGGGCTTTGCAATTTTTTTTCCTTTTAAAATGGTTGGTAAGTAGGTATCTATTGAGTATCTCCATGTGCTAAGCAGGCACTCTGCTATCAAATGCACTCTGCATTTGTAGATATAGAAATGGCATTTCAACCCCCAAGCAATCTAGTTGAGTAAACAAAATGAATTCTTATAAAATAAGTCAGAAGCCAAATAAAGCAGCATCCCTTCGTGTGCTACATCGACGATTCTGGCAGGAGGTCAGAGGAAGAAGAGGTCAATGAGGGATGGATGGATTGTTCCAGAAAGTTTTCTGTGACAGGTAGGATTAAAGGTAGAAGAGACTGGGCATCTCAGCTCCTTTGAAGGCTATGACATGGGCAAGGCATGGGGGAAACCTGGAGCCTTCCATGTACCAGCTAGTCTGAAGAGATGAGAATGTGTGTTCGAGTGTTGTGAGACATAACATCTCAAATTTCTCAAGAATACATTCTTGGCTATTGCTATTGTGCATGTGTGTATTTGTGTATATGTTATGTTTATGTTAATGCACAATTGTTACAAAAACATAATTCACAAAAAAACATAATTCACATTTAAAAATTGTTTCTGAGAATATAAAGACAACATATAGGATAACACATGAAGTGCTCCAGCCATGCTTATTCTTTGATTTAGTCTTTTCCCATATCTTCTCTGTGATAATAGAAGAACGACAAGTAACGGATACCAAAAGCCACAGAAAATATTTAAATGTAAATGTAGCCATTCAGTTTCACAGACTTTTCCCTGTTCTTTAGCACAGCTATAACAATGAAATAATGTATTGGATGTTTCCCATTGTCTTTAATCCCCCCATTGTCTATGATAAATAAGGAAATGGTCCAAAGAAGGCATCTAAAAGGAGGATTGATCTGGACAGCATGGTCCATCCACAGACTGGGCCTGTCAGCCCTTTATCTGGCTGGGGGTATTCCTGAATATGCTTTAAAAGCCCATAAAGAAGGTCAGAGATCATGAAAGTTAGCCATCCCGATCATCTTTAAAGATGATGCTGAAGTCATCTGTACCTCTTAATTGAAAAGCAAGATATGTTCACTTGAGCTACAGATTTTTTAAAAACTAATTAGAGTCATACTACCAGTTAGACAGTGTTGCACATTTGCGTATATATAGAAGCCATTTGTGGGTGCGTTTCTGTGATATTTCATCAATGGAGTTGGTTAGCTCAGTTGATTTAAGTACAGTGTTAATGGGATCAATGACATCCTGCTCCTACTTAGTGCTATAAGATAGGGTGTATTTTTGTTTTTGTTTATTTGTTTTGTTTTTACTTTTTGTTTTTTGCAGGGCAAAGATAACTCCAGTTAGCAAATTGACAAACATATGTCCTGAGTAACAACAATAAGTGGCAAAATAAACTTGATGGCTTAATAGAGACAAGTAGTCACTATCGGGGAAAAATGTAAAATGTGTGGTATGTGCTATTTGTGATCCATTTTTGGTGGGTTAATAGTATTACAATCACATACCCAAAACAGCATAGTATTATTTATAGTTTTGCTGACAAGAGCTTGGTGCTTTTAAAGATGTAATCTTCAGGCCACCAGTGGGTTTTCCAGTAAGTTCCGAAACCATTATCTTCTATTCTTAGTACTTGAAGCAATATAGACAGCCCCAACTTATACAAAAGTTATAGTCCAATATTTCTTTGCATCCCTGGGGTCTTTCTCTTCACATAGAATAAGCAATGTTATAAATAGCAGTTAGGTTCTCAGACTAACACACAAAAGTCTACTTAATAGATGGTAGTTAATGTGTATTTGTTGAATAAATAAACAAACACTAGCTCTATTCACTTGAGTTCTGTGTTCTTAAATCAACAGATCATGTAATATGAGAGAGTGAAGATGAATAGTTCCTCTTCCTTTCCCTGGTGATCCAGTTAGACTTATGCAAAATTTTATGATAAATAAAAATGCATTTCAACTGCTCCTAGAGCTCCTCTGCCCTCATTTCCAATTTCTTTATTATGGCCATTCTACTTTGGATGAACTTTAGAGTGTCCTACCCATTTTACCATTCTACAGTTATTTACTTCTTCAGTAAAACAGATTTTAATTAGATATTTACAAATAAAAATTTAGATACAACTAGTTTCTATTATGTTGTGACTGAGTGGTAACACAATGACCACACGAAGCCATTCAGTATTTTTAAAAAGTAGGTGTTCATAAACTCAAGTATATATTGACAGATATCTAATCAAGTGAAGTAGAGGAAGGAGAAATTTCTAAGCAGTTTATGATAGATCTGGGTCGGGAGAGGAAACCATTTCCAGCAGAAAGATTTGTCTTCTTTGGGCATATCGGCCCTTCTCTAGAAATCTTCCCTCTGGATCTGTTTAATTCAACTGTTACAGGCTATATTGAAATCTAAATACTGTACTTTCCTCATAATTTCCCTTCCCACCATATCTTTACAAAACCTATGACTAAGATCATATGTAAATATGATATCAACTTCATCTTCATACTTGCCATGTTCTTTTAGAGACACCAGAGACCATGAGTGCCATTTTTTCTCTCTTTCTTAATGCCCAAGCCAGCCTTAGCTCTTTAAAGTTCAAGTGTACCACAGATACCAGTCACAAGCATTGTGCCTATAGCAGGCATGAACCCTGGATCACCATCCTCTTTAGGCTTTATGCTTCAGTTTCCTCTTCTGAAAAATAGAGATAATATTAGAACCTAAGTAATTGAAACATTGTGAGATAATATTAGAACCTAAATAATCAAGATAAAACAGGTTAAGTTCTTATGTAGAGCCTAACACACAGTCAAAATCGAGCAAGTGCAAAATGGTCCCTGCTGTTGTTCTGCTTCCCCATCCTCCTCCTCCACTATTTCCCTGGCTCTTAGATTTTCATGCTTTCACATTCAGAGGGAGAGGATCTGAAGTTTCAGACCTTCCAAAATTTAATTCACTGTCTACCACCCACCATCCATAGACCATCAGCTCAATGGAGCATATCATCAGGGTTTTCAGTGAAGATCTGTGGTACAGAACCTCCCATTGGTACAGTCACTTCACCATGTCCGCATCTGCCTATAATTTGCTGTTCCCCCTCAGCAACACTTTTCCATGGCAATTCCAGTTCACTCTTTGGTTGTTTCTCAGTGTCTTCCAGCACAACTGATTTCGTGGCAATCTTCAGTTTCTGAGCAAATTATAGTCTATCCAGAAGGACTGCCATTATTATAGCCTCTGTCAGTCCAGAAGCTTGTTAGCTTGTTAGTATCACCATCCATAAGGACATGGGGAAATCCATCTAACTGGGAGAAATCGTTTCTCTTCTGGCACACCCACTCCCAGCCCTATATAATTTATTCTCAGGGATGACTCCTGAGACATCTGCCCCATGACTGCTCACTTTCAGATACCATGCACCTTCACACACACCTCCGCCTCCATGCACACACAAGCTGGAGAAGAAAGCTGGACCTTCCTTTCTTTTTATTCTCAGTTCTACACACCTTATTGAATTCTGTGCCCCAGATGATCCAGACAAGAGAAACACCATCTTTTAGCCTCAGTGATGTCTGAACTCCTACTTGGGACCAGTTTTCAGGGCCTTTCCAGGGTCAGAATATTGGGTATAAATCACCACACATGGTTCTTCTCTTACATCCTATCTGAGCTTTCTAC